GCACTGATGCAGGCAGACAGGCGCCACAGGCACCGCATGCACCTCTGAAACCAGCAGGCCACAAGCTCAGCTCCCTCCATGACCCGTGCCCATTCTGGCACAAGCCAGAGCCCCCTCCACCTGCCCAGTCCAGGGAACAAGCTAGCCAGGAACAAAAGTGCCCAACACCAAGAACAGGAAAGGTGCCAGTCAACCTGAAAAAGCATGCTGGGAAGCTCTGAGACAGACCTGGGACCCTGGGAGACCCAGGCTTTGGATGCCTCAGCTAGGCAGGGCTAAGATAGAGGACTGGGGCCTTCAGACCATAACAAGCCCCATGGGACTGGCCCCAGAGGGTCTGCAGGCATTTGGGGAGCCAGCACCTTTACAATGTAGCCAACAAACTGATGTTTTGTGCTATGGGACAGAGGAAGAGCCAGATCTATCACACTTCGTCAGGACCCTCTGTGAGGTTTAACAGCCACCTCCTATGTCCAGCCTAAAGTTTGAGGACATAGACGCCAGGAGCCCAGGGCTAGAGTCAGAGCTGGAGACACAATCAGACAGGCTCCCAGGGAGATAGAGGTGATGAGGGGGGCAAGGTGACGCATCAGGGAAACATCCTCAATGCAAAGGAGCCCCAGGGAAGGTATCTCAGAGACCCCTCCAAAGACCAAGGCTGACTGTAGACCAAGTGAGTCCTGCACTGTCAGGAGCACCTTCTGGAAAGCCCCAACCCAGCACGGGCACTGAAGCAGAAATTACGGGCCTGGCCTGGCGCTACTCTCCCCAAAACCAGCTCTTCCTCTCAGCTAAAACAACTCCAGTTTCTGTTGCCCTCGAAGGGACAGGGCACAGGAAATACATACAACAGAGGAAACCATGGGCCACTCTAGAAGGTTGTAAGGACTTAGCTGTGGTGATAAGTCCTTTACGGTTCTATGCACAAACATGGGTATCCAGATTTTTTTAAAAAACATTATCTAAAAGACCCAGTTCAGTATAGTCTTCAAATTCCTTCTAATCAACTGCTGAATTGACCCTTTTGGGGAACCACTGCTATGAAGAGGGGGCAGGTCAGTGGGTAGCAAGCAGCCCCAAGACCAGTTAAGCCACAGGGCTTGACAGAAAGAGATACTAATAAGAAAAACACAAGACAGAGTTGAAGAAGGCACTGCCATGGCAAGGCCTCTCAGCCAAGATCTGCAGAGCCCAGCAGGCAGTGAGGAAGCCCGCAGCTCAGCTGGAGTCCAAGGACTCCACTGTCCTAAGGACACACCAATTCCTCTGGAGTTGCTAGACCTGCTCACTTGCTCGGCCTGCTTCCAGAAAGAGCAGGGAATCAGTGTTTGCTGAGTGCCTAGACCTTTCTGGATATGGTAACTCAGAGTCTATGAGGGGGGTTTGTTGCCAGTTTACATACAGCAAGACTGACGGTCAAGAGTGCCCATGGTCTCTAGACATGTCAGCAACATGACTGACTCTACCTGGCAGTCACAAAGCCCACCTGTACTTAGCCTCCCTGTCAGGCCAGCCTCATTCCACAGACACAGATCTGTACATGTTCTGATGCTAAGACATCTTAACCAGCCATCCAGTCCTGCCTGAAAACCAAAACAAACCAAATTAAACTAAACTAAGCCAAACCAAAACACACTTGTTTTTTCTTTTCTCTTTTTTTCTTTTCTCTCCCCCTTTTTTTTTTTTTTTTTTTTTTTTTTTTAACAACACCCCATCCTCAGGATATGGGCAGTTAACACTGCCTGCCCTGGCTGTGGCTATCTGGAACTGCCTGAAACTCTGTAACCCAGTGTGATGCATGAAGGGTAATATATGTGACCCCTTTGCTAGCCAGCCCTGCAAGACTGCCACTTCCTGAGTAGCTGCAAGGACCCCAGCCAGGAGACCAGTGAAGACAAATACGGACTACTGAAGATATACCCAGAGGACCTCCTTGGCTTCAGGACCTTCCAGAAGAGACAGGCAGTTGGACAGGGCTTTCTGTATTCCTGACAATATGAAGCAGAATTTCCAGTTTCAGGATACTGGACAGCATGGAAACAGGTCAGCAGCCCTTGGGTAGGCCAAGGACCCTGCATGCTAGGGGTGTCCTGATGATGCTGGTGTCAGTCCAGGGCCACACTAAATGTGGGCATGTAGCCTCAATCCCACCTACAGATGCAGTAGAAAGATAGAAAACAGAGAGTAGCTATATCATCCTCCAATGATGCCAAGGGAGACCCTGCCATCTTCCAGATGGTGCGGCAACTTGGGGCTCTACTTGACCCATCTGAGTAGGGGTTGTGTAACCACCTTGCCTGACAGAAGCAGCCCTGAAGGAGTCAGGGGGGGGGGGGCGGTCTCAGGCCTCTAGATCATGTGGCAGATGCCATGCCTGCCTGACCATGAGGAGACAGGACAGACCTACCCTGTCTGCTTCACTCATGCTGTTCTGGGGCACCTGTAAATCTTTGGCTGAAGCTGTCCCCTATAACTGTGCCCAGGCCCAAGTAGAGTCCTCTGGTGCCTGCTGTAACCCATGTTCCTGGAGAGCAGGCACTTAAGGCCTCTTCCAAATGGGGCTCCCAGACCTTGATGGAGATGGCTCAGACAGCTGCAACACCTGTCAACTGCCATAGGCCTGAAAATCGTGAGTTAGACACACTATCCCTGTCCTAATGTGTCTGGACACAGATAATAAGTCTAGCCATAATTACTGACCAGGAGCTCAGCAAATGCCAGGCAATAACAGGTTCTGACTGTGTGTGGTCCATCTGAGATGAGTGACCCAAGGAAGCTTTGACTGAACTTCCTTTAGGCACCACTGAAAACTGCAAAACAATTCAGAAGGAAACTGAGGATTCAGTGAGAAGGGAAAACCTCTGGAAGCCCATATGGTCCTCTCCTGCCAAGCTGCCCTTCTGTTGTATGCCTGCGGGCGGGTTGGTTTTGCGCGCCGCACTGCTGGGCGGGTCTCTCTGGCTCTCTGCAGCTGGGAGTGCTGGCGGCTCTGCAGATCGGCTGGCCCGCCCGGGGGGGGTCTGCAAGCTGCCCGGCGGTTTCTGCGCCAATCTGCAGGGGGCTCTGCGCCAGCTGCAGGACGCTCCCTCTGTGCACACGGTCCGTTGGCCACCGGTCCGGGGGGGGGGGGCAGGGGAGCAAAGCTGGGAGCGCAGGAATGTCGAACGCAGAAGCTTCGTGAGTGGGTGTTGATGGGGGGACAGCTCCCTCCAGGAAGACTGAATCACAGGCTGGTCCCAGGTGCAGTGAAACACAGGATACAGCTCCAGACAAGTTCAGTGATACAGCTTCGATTTATTAGGGGGAAACTAGAGAATTTATAGTGTGGAGGCAGTAGCAAAAAGCCTCAGCTGATAGGTGCTCCTAGGATGCCCCATTTACATGTGGCGGTGGGCTTCTATCAGGCTGTCAGACAATGCCTGGTTATCACATAGGAAAAACCTGGCAGTTTCTCGGCCAGAGGTCATGTATCTGTGGTGGCCACTTCAAAGTGAGTCAGGAGGAGAGCAGGAGGCGCCCTGCTGGAAAGGGGAGTCTCTGCATCAAACGCCGAGCCCCTTAGGCTATCTAGACATGGAGAGACTGCGACCCAAACAGCAGGGGTCCCCAACACCCTTCTACACACAGGCAGCCCTGCCTTGGGCAGGGACCAAGTGCCCCACCACAGGGTAAAGGCTGAATGCCGTCTGGGTAGAGAAAGAAGGGAAAAGGGAAGGGAGAGGAAGGCACCCAGGGAGTCACATGTCACAGGGTAGAACGTCAAGAAGTCAGTTGATTAGAAGCATGGGGCACAGAAATCAAAAGACTATCTGGTCTTCCAAGAGCAGGCTGGCTGAGCAGAGCCACAGCTGGCCAAATGAAAGCAAACTTCACATTAATTTGACATCAAGTCAGGGGAAGGGTCCCTGTAAGCAGCACAGTAACTGGAGTGGGAGAGAACTGAAAGAGAGCTGATCCAAGCAGACACGACAGGAGAGCATCTAGCTAAGGAGATGGCTAAGACAGGAACCACCAGCTTTCTGCAGGAGCTGCTGACTCTCTACAACTTGCCTTGTTTTTAGAGAGGGTCTTGTAATAGCCCAGGCTGGCCTCAGCCTCCTGAGTGTTAGAATTACAGGCATGAGCCAGCATGCCTGGATGGTGACAATTTTTTTTTTTTTTTTTTGTCTTTTTGAGACAGGGTCTCCCTGTAGCCCCAGCTGTCCTGGAACTCAGTATGTAGACCATGTTTGGGAGAACAGCTGGGAGGCAGGGGTGGCCTGAGCTCACTCCTGATTTTTACCAAGAAACTTTTAGGAAATGGTCATGAACATGTGACAGTGTTCATGTGACACTAAGAATTCCTGCTTGTTTGCTTAGGCATGACACCAGCATTGTAGGTTAAGAGCCCTTGAATTCACACAGGAATTTACAAACCAAATGCCATGAAGTCTGGTACTTGTTTCAAAATGATTTCAGTGTGTGAGTGTCGAGGGCAGGCAAAAGTGCCTGGAGTTTCTCAACACTGTTCTTTCTAGTTCAGTATATTAAATGTTTTCCTATAGGAGACCCTGTTTCAAAAAGACCAAAAAGAAAAAAAAAATACCATCTTCTTAAAAGCATGGGTTAACTCTCATCTGGTCAGCCCTGTAACCCGAAGGCTCCTCCAAAAAGCTGGAGTTGATCCGGGGTGAGTGGGCGATGCAGAACACACTAGGAAAAAAGAGGTGGAGCTGCCACCATGCGAGAGAAGGGGATGGGAGACGGATGGCGCCTGCATTTCAAATATGGAAAAGGAAAAGCCTGTGAGAATCCGTGTTTCTGTAAGTCACCCCTCCCAAATGTCATATAAACTATGCAAAATCCAAATAGGATGCATTATGTCAGTCTGTCACCTCTGAGGCCTCAGAGGGCAGAGGCAAGTGTGCCAGGGAGGAAAGAGGGAAAATTTGGTGAAACACGCCCACAGGCAGATGTGGCATTCAGGCCGCCCTCTCACCTCTCCTGGGGCAGTGACTCACCTTTCTTTAGGGACACAACACTCCTCTGGTCCAGCTCTAGACTCTGCACCAAGGCACTGGGGTCTATCTGTGTCCTGGCAAATATGTCAGTGTGAAGAGAAGTCCAATCCTGTGTCACAAGAAAAAAGGCAGGATGTCAAGCTGGCTCTGTGGTTGCAGAGTTCATGTCAGGAAGAGGATGGCAAGATGTAGATCCCATACTTCTGGGAGAATACCCATGTCCCTGTTCCCAGAGCAGGCCTGCGCCCAGGCTGACAATTCCTGCCCCAGATCTTAGGTCCACCTGAACAATCAGAGTAGGCGGGTTCACCAGAAAGTAGAGTGGAGATCCACCAGCACAGAACTGAGGATGGCCTCCAAGCAAACAGGAGGATCCAGGAGCTCCTAGGAAGGGCATCCCTTGCTGCTCAAAACTGTATGTATAAGCCCTCCAGGGGGTGAGCAGAGGAATTCTTCAGTTCTTGGCCACCTTAAAGGATCAAAAATGTGAGCATCAACCACATTAACCTTGCAGTAGTAAGAACAAAGACCCAGGCAGCCAGAGGAAAAGAGCATCTCTGACAGCACAGGGCTTGAGCTGAGCCAAGCAGCTGAACTAAAGGAGAAAAATGAGGAAAAGAGACATCAGAGGCTACCCAGGGATGGGAGGATGCAGGAGATAGGAAGAACTATTAGCTTAGTCACACGAGCAAATAACAGCTAGGCATAAGTGGGCTATAGCCTGTGCTACATGTTAAGTGGTAGGCTAACCTGAGCTACAGTAGACCTTGTCTCAAAAAAAATAACAAAGTAAAATGAAATAAAAATAAGAGATCTAGCTGGGCACGGTGGTGCACACCTGTAGTTCTAGCACTTGGGAGGCAGAGGCAGGCGGATCTCTGAGTTCAAGGCCAGCTTGGTCTATATAGTGAGTTCCCGGACAGCTAGGGCTAAAGGGAGACCCTTCTTAAAAAAAACCAAAAAAAAAAAAAAAAAAAAAAAAAAAAAAGAGATCTAAAAACCAAAGCAACAACAACCAAGCACTGGGGACACAGCTCAGTGTAAGGGCACTTACCTAGCATGTATGAGGTCCTAAGTTCAATCCCTAGTACAGCAAATAAATAACCCACTAGTGTAAAAAATGAATGAATAAAATGGCCAAGCAAACAGAATCAATGACTGCTGTCATACCAACCTAAAATGTCCTGTTTCCCCCAACAAAACTAATCTACTCAAAGGAGGGAAGGTCAAAATACAAAACCTAATGGTACTTCTGTACAACAGTCATGAATAACCAAAAAGAAAAAAGAAAACAATTCCATTTGCAGCACATCAAAATAATAAAATGTTGGGTTTGGCGAGATGGTTCAGTGGTTAAAAGCACCAGCTGCTCTTACAGAGGACCAAGGTTTGGTTCCCAGCACCCACATGGTAGTTAACAACCATCCCAAACTCCAGTTCTAGGGGCTCTGACACCCTCTTCTGGCCTCTACAGGCATCACAAGACACAAGTGCACTTACATATATGCAGGCAATGCACTTATATGCATAAAATAAAAATAAAATATTGAGAAAAAAACCTGCAAACTATAATTTTCTTAAATGGAGTTTTATTTAATCATTTGATAGAAAAGAACACATTTTCTTTACATCACATAAAGATCAATGGAACAAAACTGAAAGTTGATAGACACCCCCACACACACACACACACACACTCATGGTAAATTGATTTTTAACAAAGTGCCAACACTTTTCAATGGGGAAAAACAGTCTTTTTAGCAAATGGTGCTAGGACAACTGGAAATCTATCCGTATGTAAAACAAAGAAATCGACCTTGACCAAATATAAAAATAAACAAAATGGATCATGACCTAAAACATACCAGAAATCGGAACATACATGGAAATCTCTGTTCTTGCAGTTTTGTTATGTGATAACAAAAGCAAAAGAATGGGTAATGACTCAGCAACTCCATGCCATAGAAAAATCTGTGCAAGGATGCCCCACAACAGGATCAGACAGCACCAAAGTGGAAAACCAAATAGCCTATCAACAGGAAGTGTGGAGTAGCATGGCATACGAAGTCAATGGAGCATGAGAAAGGAGAAAGCAGCAATGCAGTGCTCCAGGATCAAAGCCTGCAGTCGCTAGTGGAAGGGACACAGCGGCAGGTCCTGTGTTACTCTGCAAGGACAAGTGAGCAGGGGGAGTCTACATGGGCACAGTGTACACTGGCAGATGCTGGGATCCTGCTGGGGCTCTTGGGGAAGAGAATGATTCAAGTGTTCTGTATCTGTGGTGCTCACAGGACTCTGAAGATACCCCATAGAAAACAGAACTATACACTAGATGGTGGGGCCTTTCATTGCATGCATTATACTGTAACAGCAACTTCTTTGCTGTTGTTTGGAGGCAGACGGTGGCAGTGGAGGGCCTCTGGGATTAATTCTTGAGAAATGTCATCTGTCAAACAAGGGCAGGGTAGTGTACAGCTGTGCAAGGCATGGCACAGTAAATGCATGAGAAACGTACCTTAGCAGACGACTGGAAGCCATGGCCCTGGATCCCCGAAAGGTCCCATTTGCTATTCCCAGGAAGACCCCTGAGTTACAGACACCAGACAACACTAGAAAGATGATTAAGCTGTTGTGTAGTAGGCTGGGCATGGTGGCCTACGCTTTAATCCCAGCACTCGGGAGGCAGATCTCCCTGAGTTCAAGGCCAGCCTGGTCTATGCAGTGAGTTCCAGGTCAGCTGGGGCTACAGGGAGACCCTGTCTCAACACCCCCCAAATGTTGTGTATTATGGGGGGGGGGGTGTGGAGTGGCCTCACAGGTATAAAGCATTGGGGGTGCCTGAGATGAGAACGGGGGTTCCTTTCCACCCCCAATCGGTGCTGAAACCCCCAAATGTTGTGTATTATGGGGGGGGGGCTGGAGAGATGGCTCAGCAGTTAAGAGCACTGGCTGCTCTTGCAGAGAACCTGGCTTCGACTTCCAGCACCCATATGGTGGCTAACAACTGTCCATAACTCCACTTCCAGGGGCTCCAAGGCTCTCTTCTAACCTCCATGGGCAATGCGCTACACGGGTGCACTTACACACATGCAGGCAATACACTCATGCACATAAAAAACAAACCAATTTTTTAAAATATGCTGTGTATAAAATACACAGTAAGAAAATAAAATTTATTTTTTAAAAAAGTGGGTTCTGGACCGCGAGGCCGAACGAAGGGAGGGACAGGAGGTGGTTTTGAAAACAACCCATGCTCTTCACTGGACCTCCGGAACTTTCCTTTCTTGAGAGTCGGCAAGTTTTAAGGAGCCTTCACGGTGCCGTGCGCATTTCCAGACCTGGGTGGTGAGCTGCGCTCCCTAGCACTGCAGCGGGGCTGTCCCGACTTCATCAACCAAGGTCATGGGAGCCCCAAAACTGCAGAGGGTGGGCTGGGGTTGGGGAGTCCTCCGGGAGCCGGCCGGTATCCCGCTCCATGGAGACCTCCACCCGGCCTCACCTCCCCGCACGGCCCAGCCTCACCTCCCCCCCACCGCACGGCCTCACCTTTCCCGTTCCGCCAGCCCAGGCCTGCGGGGCGGCGGGCTCCGGGGCGCGGGGAGCCGCCTCGCCGTCGGGCCGCACGGCCGCCCGGTGCACGCGGGCCCGCAGAGCCCTGACTTTCCCCATCTCCCCAGAAGGAAGCCGCGCAGTACCAGCGTCGCTAGAGGAACGGAAGAACCTCCCGGAAGTGGGCCTTCCGCTCTCACCGCCGGGTGGAAACTGGACCGGCGACTGCGGAGTTCCACGCCCGCGCGAAAGCCGGAAGTGCCTCTCGTCGCTCTGTACCGCGCCCCCTCGGCGAGCGGTTTCTGCGGGGGTGCGTTCCCCCTGGCTGTTGGAAGGGCGCGAACGTCAGCTGCTGCACCACCCCAGGGTGAGGTGCGGGTTGTAGAGGACCCAGGTTCGATTCCCAGTACCCACATGGCAGCTGACAACCGACTCCAGTTTCAGAGGATCCGATGCCCTTCTGACCTCCGCGGGCATTGCACGACACAAGCGTACTTACACATATGCAAACAATACACGCATACGCATAAAATAAAAATAATAAATAAAATACATTTTTAAGCCATGGCAATAAAGGGGAAGAAACCGGGGTGTATACGACCAGAAACGGTTTCTTTCTATGGGGCACGACTGGGGCAGAGTAGGGAGACAGGTTCCCTCCTGGCCTCTGTCCTCAGGACAGCTCTGTGGAACTGGACTTAACTAGTCTAAGGATCCAGGCGGTCCTTCTCGCTCCCTGGTGCTAGAAATAAAATCCGAGGTCCAAGGATGTGTCCTGAGAGGGTCCTCTGTACAGCCCTGAAGGTTGCGCACTCTTTGCACTACCTGCTCCTAGATGGTGGGTGCTGACTGCACACCAGCACTGTGTTACTAGGAAAGTCTTAGCAAGCTACACATGACTGTGTACCTCTGTTTGGGACCACTTTCAGAGGGGACTCTGGCTCAGTGGCTTGGGACCCTGTCCACCTAAAGGTCCACCTCCTGCTTTAGGCCCTTCACACTTGCAAGGTGGACTTGGCCTTCCGAACAGCCTCACCTCAGGGCTCTGTGAACCTGCATCAGAAGAGGGAGTGGCCCTGGTCCTCTGCAGCCCTGGGGCTGGAGCTGTGGGCTGGGTGAAAGAGCTGTGCAGGCCATCAGTGAGTCCATGGCTCACTTTCTGCCCCAGGATTGAGGTCAGATTGCTGCCTGGGTGTGGACAGACCCTAGGAGGGGTGAGTGTCCTCTCTGGGCCTTCCCGGCCTTCCCATTCCTTTCCAGAGGCCCAGCTCTATAAGCCTGCCTTGGAGTGTCCTGGTAATTATACCCTCCATTGGCATAAACGTTTTGGCTTATCTCCCCAGAAGTTCTGGCAGCCAATGTGGGGGGCCGGGGGCTGATTCGAGGCAACCCCACCCCTTGTCCCTCTCTCCTCCTCAGCCCTCAGCAGTATCTCAGGCCTGCCTGTGCTTTAGTGGGTCCATTGGGCCCCATGTGCCCCTATGAATGGTGACCTGCATGTGGTGGGGTCTTCTGGCCTTGGCAGTCGTCACCCTGGCCCTAGTGGTGCAGAAGCCTGTCAATTAACTCTTCAGACCCCCCCTTCTACCCTTCCTGTCGCCAGAGGGCGCTCATGTCACACTGAGTTACTCTGTACAAGGGACTGGCCAGCTGTCCCTGGGTAGCTACATCCTTCAGGCCAGGTTCCCTCACCAAGCACCAGGTCCACCCTCAGATCCTAACGTGTGGCCGTGCATGGCTATGTGCAGACGCTTCTGCCCACCAACTCCCGAGAGGATGCATCCCATCTGCACCTGGCCCTGTCTACGTGACCAGTCCCCCACCTCCCTGGCAGGTCCAGATCATCCCTCAGCCTCTCCCTAGCCCCCTGCCTGGCCCAGGTTGAGTCTGCCCCATTCCCCCCACCCCAGGGTCCCTTGTTCCACCCACGGAGGTGGCTAGGTTTGCAGGGTAGGGGCCCCTATCTGCCTGGCCTCAGGTGAGTTGGGCAAAATCTGAGCTTCTCAAACTTGCTTCCCCACCTCTGCAAAGGAGTCGCTGCCTTCTGGGGATCCTTGAGAAGGAACAGTAAAGCACCACGAATGACCTGCTGTCCGCTTGCAGCAGGAGCTCATAGAGTTGGGGGGCTGTGCCAGCAGGAAGGGCTTGTGGCCTAGTAGGCATTCTGAGCACAGACTGGCACAGACCACAGTACCTGCGGAGGTCCAGGACCTTCTGGCCAATGAACCTACAGCCAGGTTTTTCGTTGGCCCCAGTCCTGCCTACTTCACCAGTTGCTCTGGGCAACCAGGCAGGGAGGGGTCTCCTCTCCCTCCTTCCTGAGACCAACTCATGTCTGATGCAGGCCTAAGTTCTGCCACCCACCTCTGCCAGGCCTGGTTCTGCAAAAGACACAGAGCCATTTCCCAGCACTTCCCCGGAGTCTGGTGCTCAGAGGAGAGCCTAGTAAGGACAGTGCCGACTTGCTGGATCTGACAGACCACACAGGCTTCCCTTTTGCAAAGTAAAAGCATACTGACATCTCTTGGATCCCATGACTCACAGGGCCTAGGTGTCCTCGCCATGGCTCCCTCCACCTGCTTTGATCTACAGTTCTCACTGTAGCTCAAATGTGGAAGGCTTGAGCCTCTGGTAGCCAGTCCAGTCCCCTCCCCTGTGTGACCTTCAGTGAGTCACTCTGTGACTGAGGTGACACCCACATTAGTCAATGTCTCCCCCTTCTTGAGGACCTGTCAATCATAGCCTCACCCCTGTGGGCCTCACAGTGGCTTTCCACAGCCCAGCCCCCTCACCACTTTGTGTGGTGGCCTCTGTGAGTACTGAACCCCATTCTAGTTTGCCAGAATTTCTAACACTGCACCAGTTCTTCCCAAACAGATGGCTCCCTCACCCACCTTGCAAATGGAGACCTGAGGCAGGCTGCCCCCCAACAGCAGGTACCCTAGACACAGTGCAGTTTTCTAGAACCAGCCATGTGGGCCACATTCCTGCTTAACAAAGCAGCCCCATCCCTTGTATGAGAATGCAGCCTAAGAGGGAGAAGGAATAGGGATTCCCATGGCCTTCAGGGGTTCCTCAAATTAGGAGGAGTGACCCTTCAGGACAGGTTCTGCCTGGCTGAGAGGCCACCTCCACTGTGGGACCCAGAACAGAGCAGAAAGTGGGTGGAAACTGCCCAGGGAGCTCCAGGGGACCCTGGAGGGCAGAAGGGAGCACATATTTCTGGGCTTCTAGTCCCCTCCCCCTGGATGAGGAAAAAATAGCAAGAGAAACCTAGAGAAGCTGGGGGGGGAGTGGGAAGAGACTTGGGGTGGGGTCGGGTTGGTGTCGGTGTTCAGCCTCTGGCTCTGTCCCTTTCTGCTGTCCCCACCCCACCCCCCATTCACACCATTTCCACTGTCCTGTGTGCACACTGAGCTAGCCAGGGCCATGCAGCCAGGGAGAGCCTTTGCCAACACCTGACACAACTCACAGGACACAATCCTGTGTGAAGTGGCACATGGGAAGGGCGGTGCTGAAAGAGACAGCTCCCTGCAGTTACCAAGAGGTTCCCTGTTTCCTCTGGGACTGACCCTAGCAACACAGTTCTTGGGCTCCTAAAAGAGAATCAGAGGGGGCTCAGTAGTAGAGCAAGCGACCAGGAGCTGAATTACAGCAAGCAAGGAAGCAAGAAAACACTAGAAAAGAGCGGGCAGAGCAGCGGCCCTGATCCTGGCCGGCATGGGGCCTAGCTCTCTCCTTTCCCTGGCATCTCCTCTCTGTGCCTCCTCCAGGGCTGGCATTTCCAGGAAAGGGTCATACCGTTCTTGAAAGCCCACTTCACCCAGAATTCAGGTTGTTATAAGTAGATGTGTAAGATACAAGACTATGTAGAGGGGTGTAAGTGCTCCAGAAGTTGAGGGGTTCACTAGGGGAGAGGGTAGCTGCACTCTGAGAGTGCTCTGTGGAGAGCAGTCCCAGCTTGCTTTGTGAGGCCCAGCTAGAGTTGACCACTGCCACCTGCTGCTCTTTCCATCCTGTTTTGGGGGGTCCTGACCTAACACCACCATCAGAATCTTCATATCTTTTTTAACTATTTTATTTATTTTTTATTTTATGTGTATGAGTGTATTGCCTGCATGTAAGTGCACCTGTGACGTGCAATACCTGCAGAGGTCAAAAGAGGATGTCAGATTCCCCGGAACTGGAGTTACGGACAGTTGTTAGCCACCATGTGGGTGCTGGAATTCGAACCTGGGTCCACTGCACAAGCAGCCAGTGCTCTTAACCACTGAGCCATCTCTCCAGCCCAGTATCTTTATATCTTGACTGCCAGTCTACACTGCCTCCTTATCTTTTCATGCTGACCCAGCTAGAGAGGCCACTACCACCTACTTTTCCTTATGCCCCATTTTTGGGGGACATGTTGGTCAATCCCTCCAAGAGCCAACTTCCTTACACTACCAGCAGGGATGAAGGGGGACATATGGAAGAGGGGGTGACATTCAGTACTGGAAGGTGTAGGGAATGGTTTCAGGGATAAAACAGGTGTGTTCAGAGACATGGGCAGTCCCTAGATTTGACAGAAGCTCAGAGTGGTGGTCTGTGCAAGTGCGGGCTTCATTCTGTAGGCCTCCCTGCGGACCAGGGCAGGGCGTGATGTAAGACAGTTTATGGTGTTCACCGCCCAGCATTTTAAGCAGTCTGTATTTTCAGGGGCGGTGAGGGAAGGTGCCTCCTTGCCCACGGCCTCTAGACTCCAGGCCTTCTTCTGTGTTGTTTTTATCTTGACCTCCTACTCTCTCTGGTCAGGGAAGGCCAAGATCTGACCAGACCACATCTCTGGTAGATAAAGGTAAAATACTTTGATTCCCTTCATTGCACGCAAAGAAGCCCATATGGAGAGATATTTCTTTCTGACTCAAAAGTGAAAACTTAGAAGCAGAAATTTCAATGGGAAGAAATTTCTGTGTACATTCAGATAGAGCCCTTCCACTCCAAAAACAACTGAAGCTAGAGAAATGGCCCAGTGGTTAAGAGCACTGGCTGCTCTTGCAGAGGACCCTGGTTCAAGTCCAAGCATCCATATGGTTGCTAACAACTGTGTAACTCCAGTTCCAAGGGAATCCAACACCCTCTCTGGCCTCCTCGGGCACTGCAGGACATGGGTGCACTTGCATACATGCAGGCAATGCATTCATACACATAAAAA